TTTTTTTTTTTTTTTTTTTTTTTTTTTTTTTTTTTTTTTTTTTTTTTTTTTTTTTTTTTTTTTTTTTTTTTTTTTTTTTTTTTTTTTTTTTTTTTTTTTTTTTTTATTTTTTAAATAAAAAAAAAAAATATTTATGGTTTAAAAATAAATAGTTAATTCTATGTAATCGCTTTCATGTATTTGATTGTAATTTCATTATTATATTTTTTTTACATTTTCATTCACAGTGAACAAGCACGTCCTGTTCATCGAGAAGAAGAAGATCCGCTCTCTTTAAACATGGACCAAACACTTGGGATTTCACTTGAAGAATTTCAGGCTTGTGTATGTAAACATGCACTGTTTCAAATCGTAGCTACGAAGCAGCTGCGAGTAAGAGCACTCATCTACACTGAGCTTAACCGAAAGATTACGATTATATGAAGCATGATGACATGCCACAGTTCATCCAGACGTCCTGAGATCATTCCACAACATGACGGATTGAGAAATGCACTGAGAAGCAATACTGCAGTGACGAATCATTTAGATACGTTTGCCAGTGTTGGATATCTTTTTCTTAAGATAAAATCTTAATGGTGAAATGGCTGAATTGCAACACAGAGGTGTATGAAACATTTCTTTTTCTTTTTTTATTTAAAGAAATTAAAACAATAAAATCACATACTGTGTTAGAGTTCTCAGCTTCAACTGATTGAGAAGGATTTTTAATTTTTTTTATTCTCCATTCTCAAAAGGAAAAAAATTATTTATATATTTTACACAGATAATGTCTTTTCACTTTATACATATATATATATATATATATATATATATATATATATATATATATATATATAATTAGTGACTATTTACAATATTCTTTTATCTTAGTAAAATTTAAAGATTCTTAATATATAAGTAACATTCATATTTTGAATTCATGATCTAATACTCTTGAGCAAAAATCACATCAGTCTAAATATAATTTATTACATAAGCATTGATTATAATTTTAGTGTAAAAGGCACCGATACATTGTTTAGGAACAATGCAGATGAGCTATTACTGTGATGTTCTGTAGATATGACACTTTATATGACTTATTAATACATTTAAAAATCAGTTTATAAATTTTTTTACTACGGCTGCCCCTAACAATTATATTTTATAATTGATTATCAAATGGTCTATTGATTATTTTTTTGATTAAAAAAAATCAATAAAATTAGTAGGATGATTTAAAAAAAAGTGAAAATTAAATTAGCTGGATGATTTAAAAAACTATATGAAATACCAAAAACTGTAATACAACATTACTGACATTTCTCAGATAATTAGTAACATTTCATTCTCAATAACACAAGAATATTATCAAGTGCTTATGTCGACGAAATGAGACGCCCAAATTTAACATAAGCTGATGCTGAAAGTATTTTATACTGTGTACTTTTCGCACAGGTTTTTTTTCTTTGCAACTATAGTGTGTGTGTGTGTGTGTGTGTGTGTGTGTGTGTGTGTGTGTGTGTGTGTGTGTGTGTGTGTGTGTATGTATGTATGTATATAATAAAATATACAAGTCCTGATTTGTTCATGTCTGACCAGACAAATTCAAAATGAATATCCACTAGCTGTTTCTACTAACTGGAATGCACCAAGACTTAATTTTGTTTCCTGTGTGTGGATAAATTATCTATTAAGTGCACTGTGATTGGAGCAACAAAATTCACATAATAGCATGAATCTGAGAAATAAATCTGAAAAAGAGAGCATATGCTACTTTTTATGCTTAAACACTTGAAACAGTGCCACACTGTATTTAAAATGAAAAAGAGAATCTATAATTCACTGTTTAATCCATCTGAGGTATGCATCAATCTGAGATTTAAAAACAAACAAAAATCCATCTCACAGACAGCTAAAGAAAACTATAGGTGGTTTTTATTTGCTGAACAAGTTTTAATAAAATACCCTAATATGTAAACATATTCTACCAAATAACCCGCTTACATATTTTAAGCAACAGCAATTCTGCCTGAAAATAAGATGGTTATCACTTAAAGCCTTGTTTATCAGTCTGATTTTATGACAAGCCCTGCTTTCAAAACATTCGACCCTTCCCTGTAATAGGCAGGAAATGGCAAAGAGGAGCGTGTTGTAAATATAGTTATGTATTTAACCCCTCCAGAAGGAACAGTTTGTTCCAACATTATACAATCTACATCACATTTTTTAAATTAATTTAGTGAAGCGAGTCATTTTTGTTAGTAGGTTGTGTTTAAATAAATAAATAAATAAATAATAATAAAAAAAAGCCCAAAGTGTTCAAAATATCGCCCATCAAATACAACATGGTACCAAGTAAGGGTGTCCCAAAAGTCTCCAAGTTAGTTTCCATGGGTGGATATTAACACTTTTTAGCTAAATGTTTTCCAAACTGTTTCATACATAGTTTAGATTATATATATTTTCCAGAAAGCCTTTAAGAAAGCCTTTGACAAAAGAAGATTGTATTGAATTTATTCATGGCTGGATCGGGAAGTTGTCGCAACATTGTGATGGACATGCATTACATGCATAACACTGTGTGTGTTCCTCATGAGTGGGAGAAACGACTCCGTGTGTTTAAAAAAGAAAAAAAAAAGGTAATCATGTAGAGGAGGTTTTTTAAATAAACCTACATTTGGCTAAAACGTCTGGTATGGTATGGGACTCCGTGTAGTTTACACCCATTACATTCTTATAGACATTAGTTGACAATTAGAAATATTAATGTATATATATTTAAATATATATATTTTAAAGGGTCATTTAACCCTCATCTCTAAAAGCTATTAAATGTCAAGTGTAGTTTTCTATCTGATATTACCTCATTCTGATTTACTGTATTTTGCTTCTGATAAGTAATTCACATTCAGAAGGTAATATCACTTTCATTAGTTACACGTTAAGTTTAGAGTTTATTTATCACAGGAAAACTCCAAGATGATCTGTGTTGTAACTATGCTCAACAAAGTGCTGACCTTGTTAAAATGAGAGCATATGGAAGTGGACACTTCATGTAGTTGTCCGAATACCAACGAACAGCTTGTTTTATGGTTGCGAAACACATGAATAGGACTGTATTTTTCAGTCATGTGTTCCTATTATTTTGGGACAAATACATGCCTGCACACAGTTAAATAGGTTGACCTTAAAAAAAAAAAAAAATTTAAATAAGTGCTTAGTCTGTAAATCTAGTTTTCAAACATTACATTTTGGAATTATGTTAAAAGATCCTAAATAAAATGAATTCGGTTTGTGCACTGAATGTGCAGCTCAGTAACTTTCAGATAATAGATTTTAGATTTTGTACATTCCTAAATAATTTTCCAAACACTTCATGGGCAACGAATTAAAGGGGGAAAACACTGGTTACATTCAGGAGTCATTTATTTTACCTATTAGAGGGAACAGTCACTGTATAAAAAGTCCTAGGCACATGTAAAGAAACGCTATAGAACAATGATGCCTTTAAAAATAATGAAATTAAATGTTTTTACGTAAAAAAAAGTCTCGGGTACGATTAGTGCAGTTTTATAAGGAACTGAGCTTAAGTTTTAGTGAGCATCTTGCAGAACCAGACACGGTTCTTCTCGAGACTTTGACTGTCGCACTCGCTTCTTATTTTTGCAGCAAAACCCAGCAGCCTTTATTGTGGTTTGTTTTTTTTTTGTATGAGAAGTGGTCTCTTGTATAATTTGCTGCTTTCTTTACTGATATGTAAAGAAAAATATCTGTAACATTTAGTTTTGTGCTGGAAAACGAATGTTTGGAAATCTAAATTGTTTTTGTACTGACTCGATAATGTCATAAAATAAGTCATATTATAAAAATCTATAACAAAGTTTGTACTAAAAACAAGAGTTTTGCAGAGTACTGTAAATGCACTGCGAGAGTTCTGACTACTCACCTTTATCTTATAATAAAACTTTGGGATGGGAGTGGTCTCTTCCAGGATGACTCCACCCCTGTCAGCAGTGCACCAGGGCTCACTGAATGGCTTGATGTTAATCATATACTATGGCCTTCACAGTCACCATTTCTCATTTTAATTGAACACCTGTAGGTCTAACACATATATAAGGAATAACACAAATCAGACTGTGCAGTTATATGAAAATAATCCACGCCGGGTGGTATCATGCTACCCCAGACTCTGGAGAGTTATTCCACTTATACCACAGTGATTTTCCAAAGATTATAATTTTGCATATATTAATGAATGACACATCACACATTTTACCGGTTTATAGTTAGTTAGTTGGGCTGCAACTAACAATTATTTTCATAATCAATTAGCTGGGCGGCTATTTTTTTCCAATTAATCGATTGATCGAATGGGGGCGGGGCAAGCCTTCAGTACCATTTTTTCCGTTTATTTAAAATGAAACCCACAAACTGAGCGTTGCAAATATAAACTTCAGACTAAAACTTTACACAACTGTTTGTCTAATTATACAAGACCGAAAAGAACCCAATACACACAGACACACACCAGAATATATTATTCATTTAGCACTGTAGTTTGAATCAGTGCCATAAAAAAGCCTAAATACTTTTATGTGCGTGTGTGTGTGTGTGTGTGTGTATGTATGTATGTATTGTGTGTGTGTATATATATATATATATATATATATATATATATATATATATATATATATATATATATCAGTGGTTTTCAAAGTGGGGGCCTCAACAATTTGGTGTGAAAAATAAATACATGATTTTTTTTCTTTCTCACTCTCAGACAACCATCCACACACACAATCCATTCCTAATGTAATTATTAATAAATTAAAAGGAGGGATATATTCAGAAGTCTGTATTTTAATGTGTTTTAAAGACATCTTACCAAAGGGGGGCCTCAGTCAAATGTTAATGCCATTTGGGGGTCCTTGCCCTGGAAAAGTTTGGGAACCCCTGGTATATATATGCATTACTTTTTTTTTTAAATATTTTTTTATATATGCATTATGTGGGCGTCTGTAGCTTAGGTGGTAGAGCGGATTGTCCACTAATCATAGGGTTGGTGGTTCGATTCCTGGCCCACATGATTCCACATACCGAAGTGTCTTTGGGCAAGACACTGAACCCCAAGTTTCTCCCGATGGTAAGTTAGTGCCTTGCATGGCAGCTCTGCTACCACTGGTGTGTGTGAAAATGGGTGAATGAGACACAGTGTAAAGCGCTTTGGATAAAAGCACTATATAAGTGCGCCATTTACTTTTTATGGATGCACAAAAAGCACTGAATTAAACTACAGTCCTAAATTAATAATAAAAACTCTTTCACTGCACCGTGCGCTTTCTGTTACTCGCTGCCTTTACACATATTATTTTACTTGTGTTTATTTTTGATCATAATGTTTTAATTAGACATTACAGATCTTACTCGTTCTCCCTCTCTGTATCAGCGCGTCTACACTGCACGTGAGGGGCAACGCGGCCTCGTTACTAACAGATCACTTCCGTTATAATACAGAACATAAGTTACACTGATACAGCATATATTGCCAATAAACTTAAATTAAAATAAACCTTTTAAGCAACTCGCGACAGCATCACTGCCGTGCTCGTGCTACACAAACTCCGCTTCATAAAGTTTATAAATCTTCTCGGCAGTGTTTAATATAAAATGATCCACTGCCTTAGAGGACTCTGTCTGATGGTCATTGACAGAAAAAGAAAGTCATGTACAGTGTAATTCATGTAAAGTCATGTAATTCTAGGTATTAGGGTAAAGCTAGCGCTTTCGCATTACATGCTATGACGTCATGTAGGAAGCGGCATATACTTCCGGTTTGTAAAAAACAAAACAAAAAAATCCGCTTCCATTTTAGATGATATTACCTTCCTAAAATTCACACACCAGATGGTAGAGTACGTGGTGCATAGTGTAAGTGTACAGTACTTCATTTGGGACACAACTTTAGTATTTACTCTCTGAAGCGTGTTTTCAGAACAGCAATACCGTAATGAGTAAATCTCCCCCGTGGCACGCAGACCAACTGATCGATAATGAGATTCGTTGACAATGATTTTCATAATCGATTATTATCTACTTTATCGATTAGTTGTTGCAGCTCTAATGGTTAGATGTAATGTTATGGAACACCCAAGAGTGCCTGTTAATCACTTATTATTATAGACGTGATAAGCAGTCGTTCCCTAACCAGTCAGTCTCTCTCTCTTCTCTGAGAGACACGAAACATCAGGAAACTCTCCTGTCCTATCATTCATCTTACAGCTATAACTACTGTCCAAGCCGTGCCATGCAGAAATAATGCACTGCCCAATCAGAATTGATAATTAAACAGAGCACTACTGTGGAATAAATTTATATGCAGTATTTCACATTCTAAAAAACATCCTGTAATATATCAGACACACAATTCTGCCAGTGTAGTGGTTGAGGTAAGAGTTTATTCATATAGAAAGAAGATACGATATTAAGGGTGGGTTACAACAGTTCTGCTGCCAGGTCCTTCTTGAACGGATAAGATGTTTGAGTGCCGACGCTCTGCACAGACACTGAAGCTACCAGGTTTGCTCTCCTGCTCATCTCCTCCAGAGACATCGACGGGTAGTGCGCCATGTAGAAGGCCAGCGCACCCATGAAACTGTCACCAGCACCCTGCACAAAAGTGAGACGCGGTGAGCTCTAACCTATCATGTTCATTTGAACAATTAGGTTTAATGTCATTGGTAATAAAGGAAAAAAATCCATTCTGAACAACTTGCATGTCAATCTGCATAATTAACATAATCTTCACTGGCGTTTAGACTTATTTTAGCATCAAATCAAATTTTATTGGTAACGCACACAACCATACACAGCACGACATGCAGTGAAATGCAGTTTATGTCTGTCTGGTAACATGAAACAGAGTTTACTTACATAGAAATAGAAAAAGAAAAATATAAACGATTTAAAATATAGACAGCAAATAAAAGTTGTATTGACAGGAATGTTGGGTGTGTGGGTGTTGTGCAGAGAAATCGAAGGCCTGTATTTATATGTCTTATATATTAATAGTCCAAGGTGTGAGGGCCCAAATGGCCTACAGGAAGAAACTCCTCCTCATGCCATGTGTTGGACTTCAGAGAGAGGAAGCGCTTCCCGGACCGCAACAATCCATTGTTAGGATGATTTCAATTGTTAGGAAAATTGTATGAATTTAGGATGGAATTATAATACGCTTTTCCTACAGGGTTATGGGGAACCTGGAGCCTATCCCAGGGAGCATGGGGCACAAGGCGAGGTACACCCTGGACAGGCGCCAGAGGGCACAATCACATACACATTCACACACCCATTCATACACTACAGACACTTTGGGCATGCCAATCAGCCTACCATGCATGTCTTTGGACTGGGAAAGAAACTGGAGTACCCGAAGGAAACCCCCCGCAGCACCCCCCGCATGTGGGCCAGGAATCGAACCCCTAACCCTCGAGGTGTGAGGCGAACGTGCACCCAATTATAAATTATTGTTTAATTGTTTCCTGCATGGGGGAAGCACCTCTGGGGTTGGGGGTTCGAATCCTGCCTTTGCCCTAGGTGCAGGGATCTTGCATGTTCTCTCAGTGCTTCAGGGGTGTCCTCTGGGTACTCAAGTTTCCTCCTCCAGTCCAAAGATGTGTTGTTGGCTGATTAACATCTCTAATTGACTGTAGTGTGTGTGAGTGTGTGTGCAATTGTACTCTATGATGAGTTGGCACCCTGTTGATTCCCTGGGGGAGGTTCCATGCTCCCTGTGACCCTATGTAGGATAAGTGGTACAGAAAATGGATGGATGTTTCCTGCATTACCAAGTATACTATTTGACTACCGACTGACAGTGGTGCCAGTGGGGTTTAGTCCTTAGCTCCATCTCTACTTAAAGACAGCGATGCAGCAGTGCTCTCTCACTTCCTCACTTCCTCAACTGCTTCCAAAGATAATACCTTCAACGCCACAGCGCTCATCAACTCGTACATCGCTAATTAGCTGAGCTAAGTCTCTCTCATAACTCAGCGCAACTCAGTGTTATATAGCTGCTTTAGGTACAATGTTTACTGTCTGCACTACTTCTCTGTTGGATTTCTCATTAATATGACATCGAATGTCACTGGACAATGGTATTTGAAAAAAAGAAGCTCTTTTGGGGTTTTTTTTTGGAGCTGAGAGAAAAACCTGACTGTTATCACTTAGAGATAGTTTTCTCTTAATAAACACCATTGTAACTGTGCTAGCAATGTCCCCCTGTGACACCAGAGCCAAAAATACAGCATCAACCAACAACCTTAGCACCAGAATCGCTAACACACTTCACATTTACTTCAATATAAACATATTTAATGTGTTTCAGCATGGAGCTTTCCTTTAAACTAAAATCTCAGGTTAACTGTCCACTTTTTTAACTTAAACTGAAGTTGGATAAACATGGCTTAACTGGACGTATTATATTCAAACCTGCTAAAAGCAAATATGTACTTAGAAAAGTTTTGTTCAATTAAAAGTTAATCGTGATCAATGATTCTTGTTTTTTTTTTTTTTTAAACAGACATGATGTGAAAGAAAATTAGCAAATTAGCATTACCATCTGTGAATGGTAGCACATGATGATGACTGGATGTCATTGTGTTGAGTCATATGTTCTCAACTGGCTCAGTGTTGGGCAACGTGAGTAAGAGAACAACAAGGCTGAACTGGAGAGGGATCACGCAGGTCAGTGTTCAGCCCCTCTGTGTTTAATCGAGGGTATGATTTCACTAGATCTGAAGTTACAGTATTTTGTGAATTTTAGTTTATCTTCTTGACCAACAATGTCACTTTGTAAGGAGAAAGCGATTTCCAGACGAAGTTTATATATTTCTCACTGACTTTCAATGAGGGCTTTATTCTGGTCAGGATCGTGGTGAATCCAGAGCCTGTCCCAGGAACACTGGGCATGAGGTGGGAAATATATCATAGATGGGACGCCAGCTCATCTCAGTCATACATTCTTCTCCTTTTGTTATTTTGCATTAGAAATGCAGTAGGTGGTATTTATTAGCAGCGCTGTATAGTCGAATTATTTATCAGGCACTAAGCAATAAAAGCCGAACCCAAGCCCTTTCATTATAAATGTATAAAATATAGTATACTGTTGTGTGCAGAACTCTGCCTGGAGGAGTCGGATGGGGGATGGATTGGGAGGAGTACAGATGGGAAAGCGATGAGGAATGTTGTAATTTACTGAGCTTTAACCACAGATGACTCCACCACCAGTTCTCAGAAGCTTATTTGATTATTCATACTAATGGATCTTCCCTAGACCCCTAGCGTTATTGCACACCTTCAACACTTGCATCATCTACCACCGCCTCCGTCCTTGACATGCGACTGCAGTGACACGAGAGTCATAGCTACTTAAACTCTTCCCATCATTGCAGTGCCATTTAACCCATCTAACTAAGAAAACAGGCACTGATCCATTAAAACCGGGATAATCAGTTAATCTATGAAAACATTATTATTTTTACATTCGTTCTTTCTGCATTTTTCAGTTAAATATGAGCGTCAGTCAAATAATAATATTAAAACTGCAACATAAATTGGAATTAAATTTTTTGGTCCAGACGCTCATCAAGCACTCGAACACTTGGAGATTATGTGGGGGGAAAAAACAACCTTCATGACACCTATTTTAAATAAAACTATGCAAAATTAAGAAAGTTATCATAATAATATTAATAATAATAATAATCAATCATAATGTTTTCATGTGAGTCCCCCTCATAATTAGCAAAGAATGAACAAATCCACAAATTGTGTTTAACTACCATCCATTTGATATACTATTCAGTTTTTTTCGATATATAATTTGAGAAACATGGCTGTGCTTTCAAAGTGACCTTGTCAGATAATATCACCATATTAAAGAAAAAAAGCTAAAAAGAATGAGGGGCAAAAAAAAAAAAAAAATCCTTCTGTGATCTTATGGAAATTTGGATATTGCAACTTCCTGTTAAAAATGTGTCCTGTGGAATATTTCAGATTTTTCACAGAGGTGAATAGGTTCATGTAACAGG